AATAAGAATAAGGCTTTAATTAAGTTCAACTCAGCTAAAAGAGAGCCCTTTTCATAACGTAGCTGCCAGGATTTCTTTTCTTATATCATTAAAGACTTTAGAGCAAAAAACAATCAATAAATAAAGCAATCAGTGCTTGTTTTAGACCACTTTATAAGCACTTTAATAACTATATAGAAATATAATAGGGTAATAAGACATACAGGCATAAATAAATATAATAAATAAGGCAGATTATTCAATAAATAATGGAGGAATATATTTAGCCTTAGATTCATTCGTCTTGTCAAAATGGCTAGATTTCCTTCTTTTTTTAGGAAGAATAATATTCCATTGTATGTAAATGCCACATTTTTCTTTATTCGTTAGCAAATGGATGTTTAGTTTGCTTCTGTCTTGGCCGTTGTGAATAATGCTTCAGTGGATATGGTAGTGTAGATATCTTTTCAAGATGTTTATATCAATTCTTATGGATATATACCAGTAGTATTAATAGATCATGTGAGAATTCCATTTTTAATTTTTTGAGGAACTTCCATATTGTTTTCCATAGTAGCTGCATAAATTTACATTTCCACGAACAATGTACAAGGGTTCTCTTTTCTCCATATCCTCATAGAATTTTGTCGCTTTTCTTTTTGATAATAGTTGTCCTTACAGGTGTGAGGTGATAGCTCTTTGTAGCTTTGATTTGCATTTCCTTGATGATTAATGATGTTGAATACCTTTTATATGCCTGTTGGTCATTTGTATGTCTTTTCAAAGAAATGTTGATTCAGTTTCTTTGCTCATTTACTAATTGGATTATTTGTTTTCTTGCTATTGATTTCTTATATATTTTGGATACTACGCCTTTATCAGATATACATCTTGTAAACATTTTCTCTTATTCTGTAGATTATCTTTTAATTTTGTTGATTATTTCCTTTGTTCAGAAACTTATTTTTTTTAAGTGTTAAGCATTTCTTTTATTTTTTAACCATTTTGTTGAGGTATGATTGACATAGTAAAAGTTATACATATTTAATACAAACAACTTGATGAGTTGAGAGATAAGTAAACACCTATGAAACCACACCACAACTGAGGCTTTTTACTTATGAGGAATTTATAAGGCTTTATTTACTTTATGAGAAATCTAAAATTGTTAAACTTATACAAGCAGAGAATAGAATAGTTGTTGCCAGGGGCTAGAAGGAGGAGTGAATAGGGAGTTATTAGTCAAAAGGTACAAAGTTTCAGTTATACAAGATGAATAAATCATGGAGATCTATTGTACAACATACTGCCCATAGTTAATAATATTGTATTGTATACTTAAAACTTTGTTAAGAGGGTAGATTTTGTGTTAAGTTTTCTTATCACAACATAATAATAATAATAATAATGAAAGTCAGAGGAAACTTTTGGAGGAGATATATATGTTTATGGCATAAATTGTTATGACGGTTTCACAGGTGTGTACTTATTTCCAAACTCATCAAGTTTATACATTAGTTACGTACAGTTTATTTTGTATGTCAGTCATACCTCAATAGCGTTTTTTTAAGAAAGAGCATACTTTTCTTAAAATCAACCCTACCTTTTTCTCTATGGTTTTATATATGCATCCAAAAAAACAAATATTACTGATTAGATTATGATCACTTTACTTGTTTTAATAAATTAATTTTTGGAGGGGACCTTAAATATAATGCAATATCTTTGGATATTCAGTATATAATAATAGTTTGCACATACAGATATTTAAGATGAATGTCATACTGTCTATGAACACAGACATAAGAGAGAGAACTGTGTTGGAAGCTTGGCTCAACTGCTTCCCAGCTGGTGACTTTGAGCAGATTTCCTTATCAGAAAATGGAGTTGGTAACTACCCTAGAGGTAGATTTTTAACATGAAGCGATAAATGCATAAAAGGACTTGGGAAAAGATCTGTCATTTAATAAGCACTCAGTAAATGATCATTATGTCACTAATCTATTTTAAGGACTAGTATAAAAAGAGAAATAGAAAATAAATGCTAATACAAGAACTGATAACCTAAATATTCAGTGAGCTTAATACAATTCAGGGTTTAGTCCAAGAAAATTTAATTAAATATAATCATTCTCTCATTTTGTTTCCCATATAACTCAATTTTGGAAGAAATCTGATATTTTTGAGGAGATGGACTCTACTTTTTGCAAATGTTTGCTTTAGCATCATGATGTGAAACAGCAAAAATATATGATGTTAGGAATTATGAGATGCGAGAGTACAAATTTGATGGGCCAAATAGAATTTCTGTGGGGGTAATGATTTTTAGAAACTGACAGCAAGCTGTCGAATACCACATTTCTATATTCATCCTCAAGTAACATGAGCCACAAAACCAAGCTCCAAGCCTTCCTGGTTGACTGGGTTATAACTTTGGAAAGCTTTATAGTTGAACTTTAAAATAAATCCACATGATTTTGGGCTTTAAATTCAATTTTTGGAATATTAATCTAATAGAACAACAGACATTTTTTTCTGTCCAAATCTGCCATCGGCTCTCTTAAACCCATGCTGCACAATTCTTCTGTGAATGATTGAGAACCTTATATTGCTTTCTTGTCATTGTAATTTCCATGAAAGGCAGTAACTCCTTAATGAATATTTGTTCACCTGTCTCATCTATTCCAATAAAAAGCTGAAATAAATATACACTTGAATTGCTTTGCGGATTTATTCGCAGAGAAATTATCCATCAGGAAGTTAGTTCTATCCACGAGACATTCATCTCTTCTCTGTGTGTAGTAGGCCACCAGATGGTAGCTCTCTACAGCTCTTGTGGGCTGTGAATTGGCACTAATTGAAACATCAACACTCACTTCAAGGCTCCTATAGAGAAATCACATCTCCAGATCTCCAAATCCTCTAAACCGTAAATTTTCAGTGTACTTTATTTAATGTTATTGTTTTTATTTTGCAAAAATCAATAGCATCTTCACAGAAAACGTTACACATGTGGTAAAAAAAAAATCCTTGAAGTTTTATTACTTACATTTTACGTAAGTCTATCCTGATTCTAAATGGCTCCAAATAGCATTTTTTTCAAGATGGTATAAAACATTGTTGTAATGAATTTTACTCTAAGAAGGATATTATTTTGAATTGCTTTGATTTCTTCAAAGACATACATAGATTTTTCTAAAGATGAGAAATAAAAATAAATTACTATTTGATTATCTCTTGTATCATTTTCATGACCATGATCTAGAGAGACAAGAGCACATTTAAATAAATAACTACTCAAATAAATAATGTTCTATTTCATTAATTTTTCAGCAAATATTTTACAATGGCCATGTTCTTAATTGTTGACAAAATGTTATAATAAATTTTGATTCAATTTAGCAAATATTTATTGAAAACTTATAAATAACAAATATTTACTGTGTTATTCACTGTGCTGGGCATTGTAGAAGAACCAAGATGGCTATAAAATAATTTCTAAAAATTTGAAGCTTCCTTTCCAATGGGAAAGACCAGCATAGATACAGACACAAAAAGAATAATTTCAGGAAAATTTTGGTGTTATAATAGAAGAACACAAAAAAACAACTTTTGTGGGGAGGAATGAGGAAAAACATTGACATGTAATGAAAAATAAATTGGATTAGAATAAATGAAGATGGGACAAGGACATTCCAGACAGAACAAAGTTATCAAAGAATAAAATATAGAAGTAGTTAGTAAATTCCAGAAAAAAAAGGTTGAGTAAGCTGACTAAATTGAGAAATGGACTCCACTCTGAAAGTTAATTGGTGACTTTACATAGATATAGTTTTTGTTGATATGGAATTTAGTTAATGTTATTAGACAATAAGACATGGTGATCAATTTTGTCCTGAGATAAAATAATTTTCTTGTATCTCAAAGCGAGTTTATTTTTACATCACACAGCATTTCCTCAGTATTAAATGGTGAGGTTAAAAGTCAGATTACCAAGGAATCAAGAACCAAATGGTAACAAAGTAGATCAGCATAGAAAGTGTTGACGGCATGGTACGGTATGTGAGAAAATATCAGCAGTGAAGGTGGATATGTAGGAAAATATATCTCATAGTTGAGGAAATTCTGTTTTAGACTTACTGGTTAGATTTCCCCAAAACTTGATTTAGCAAAGAGACCAACATTAGCAGGGAAAATCAGAGCATGAGAAATTCTGGGAGACTAAAGAGAATAATAAGGTGGAAGAAGTTAAGAAGTGTTGGAGTCTAACTAACCTGTGTTCAATCGGACTCTGGTTGTGTAACCTCTGGAAAGTTACTAAAACTCTTGGTCACACTGTTTTCTCATCTGTATTATTAGATAGTTACTAATACTTACTTCAAAATATTGCTTATAGAGAAACAGAATAAGATATATTAAGTGCTCAGAATGAAATAAGCATTCTGTAAATGATAGCTATTTGTTTGCTACTCTCATAGAATCTGAATCTCTATCAATAGTCCCTCTCCCCCTCTCCCTCCCCCCTCCCTCTTTCCTCTCTTTCCTCTCTCTCTCTTTCC